GTTATTGATGATATTTTGCAAGTTTTTGCAATTACAGTTTCATGCTGGTGTTTATGTAGTTTGATTATTGGCTTGTGTTGCAATTTCGTCTGCGCTCACCGATAGTTATTATTCCTTTCCCACTAACCTTTACTTATCACAAGACTTTTGTAAATAGTAACTAATTTCATTAGTGTGATTAACGTTGCATATCCAGTAAATATGTAATTTATTAAAAATGTTTGTCACTTAACATTTTGATTGTCAGTTCGCTTTGGTTTGAGTTTTATGAGTTTTCTGAGGTTTAGACCAGCTGTAGGATAAATAAGTAATGGGTAGTTGCATAAAAATTATTTTCTTTCACATGAATTTGTAAATTATTAAATTAATAAGGCTTAGGAAATTGTCATTAAATTTGTCTTTGTAACTCAGATTGTTGTATAAAATGAAAATGGTAAACCATAATTGAGGGTTTAAAAATTATGAAGAAAATGCAAGTTGAAAGCTGAGATATAATAACAATTATGGATGATCAGGTGGGCAGGTGTGTGTATATTGATGATGTTCTCTTTGGTGGCAGCTTCAAGGTGAGCGTCGAGTCGTGGATGTCCGGCATGATGAACGGCATGGACTCGTGCACTCAAAATGGCACCGCCTCGTCCAATTCATCCCAGAGCGGCCACATCGAGGAATCCAAGACAAACCTCATCGTCAATTATCTCCCACAGAACATGACGCAAGAAGAGATCCGTTCTCTCTTCTCCTCCATAGGCGAGCTTGAGTCCTGCAAACTAATAAGAGACAAGGTCACAGGTGAGTCAGGTGCGCGATCATTCTCTTTGTTTTGCATGATTAGTATGTAAAAAAAAAAGATTTTCCTTCTCTTCTTTTATCTTTTAAATAATTACATCATCTGGCTACATGCTTGACAACTTTTCCGTAGCTGGAACTAGGAAAAGGGAAAGAAACTTTAGCAGAGAACTTCATACGCTAAATATTTTGAGTTTTGGGGAATAGTACAGAGTTTAGTGTAGGCATTAAGATGAGAAGGGTAGTAACATTTTTATTAGTTGGACACATTATCCATCCCTACTTGTTATATATAGGTTGTGTAGCTAGCTGAATTGGGGATAAACCGTGTTAGATTTTAATAACAGCTCTTCGTTTACAAATTTAGCAGCTAAATACTTGCTTGATCCAGTTTGCTTATCTGTTTAGCTTAATATTAGAAGACAAAAGAGCAATTGGTGGAAAACGTACTGGCGGTGGTGGTATTGCAGCCTGAGTGAACACTAGCCCTTCGCGGTCCTCGGAGATGTTTTCAATGTATTCCAAATGACAGGCTGATTATGCAGGTCGGGGGTCTGCACTCGCCACCTGGGTTATTTGTGGACGCTCATTACTGGAACCTTCCCCAGGGGTACGAGGGGGTGGGAACACTTATCAAATATTAATGAAGGAAATGAGAGGCACAGGGTGGTTAGTCTTGAGAGGTAAGAGGAGTCCTGTGAGAGTACAAGTGGTTAGTGTGTTGTGTAGCGTTTACCGAACCGAGGATCGAATTTAGACGGGTTCACGTTCATATAAATGTGCAGCAACACATTGCTGATGTATTCAATTTTGCTAGATAAAATATTATATAAGAGAAGAAATTTAAATGATCATACATACTTTAAGGGGATATAACTGTGCTTATCGCTGACAAAAGGCTTTATGCGATCACTGTACAGCTGTGCTAAAGGTAAAGAGCGTGACTACTCATTCCTGTGAAGGGTGTTAAAACAGTTGGAGTGATTACTATTGGACAGTTTGACTTTAAACTGAACACGATTTATGGAAGTTATAGTACAACCGGTGTTTCGTTGTCGAAAAGACTGCAGTAATAGTATCACTCACCATATAATTTTTAAGCCGATGGCTGGCTTTGCATGTTCGATGAGGTCAAATGTCAAACAGTGGTGGCTCATAAAACTCGAGTACATATATTCTCTCACTTTTCTAACACCAATGACATGAAATATTTTATTGGCTCCTTAAATGTTTTTTATCTAATTTTCTTCCTCTATTTCGGTATTTTGTCAAATTAACCAAAATTTAACTAATTACAATATGCAATAACACCAATAAATGCTTAAAAGTTTTGTTTTCATCGAAAGAAAACAATTAACTATCCAGATTACTGAGGAAGCGAATATACCACCAAACCAAGATTCGCAATTGAAGTATCACTAGCGTAATTTTTTTTTTACAGTATTGAGTCTAAAAAACCCATGGTTGCTTCGGTGGTTGTTGGATTAAGGAGGCACAAGATTAGTAGTCTCTTTACGAGCTCTCGCTGGAATGTAAGGTTTACCGAGGTGGGATAGTTCTTGAGTGGGGATGACGTTGGCCTCTTTCTGCAAATATGCCCCACCGGCTCGTCGAGAGTTCACACTTGTTGATTTAATTAATTTGTGGGAATCTGTTCATAACTCTAGGATTGTTTTTCAAACTATATTGTTTGGCATTAACAGTTCCCGATCTGGACGTTCATCTTTACTAATAAAAATTGTATAGAAATTTGCCTTCCAGTTCCTCATATATTCCACTTCTTATCGCCCAAAGACTTTTTTAGTATTTCATCACATCTCTACAGCTCGTATACATTTTTCTTCATAGTCTGTGTATTTCAGTCAGTCACTCTGTCTTGTCCATTTCTTTGAATGTACAGGGTAAATAGCCCTCTTCAGGATGTTAGTCAGTTTTTTTTTCTCCTTGTAGAACATTCAGCTAACCCCTTGTAAACCATTCTTCTGAAGTTCGGGACCAAGCCTGATGCAAACCTTTGGATCTTTTTCAGTCTTTTGAACATGCATTACTAGGCTGGAGAATTCCATGTCAGTGGCTGCAAACTGTAATATGGTTTGTCATATGCTATATGTTTCCACTAATATTTTTAGTGTGATATTATTAAGTTTTGGGATCATCTTACGTCGAATTCTGTAGGAGCTTTACCCCCCAAGCGGTGTTTACTCTCCAGTCTCCCTTCTCTGATTCGTCTATCGATATTTGTTTAAGTTAACCAGACTTTTGACGACCATTCCTGCAATAAAATTTCTCGAGTCTATTCCCACCAGTAACTTTCCTTATTATGCGCAAGTCCTTTACATCATTTGCAAGCACACGTGGTGACCAGCTTCCTCTGGCAGATTATTGACATGAATCGGAAAGAGTAATGTTCTTAGCACTGATCATTGGGGTATTTCAAGTGTTATTCTGGCACATCCTGATAGATCCTTGTATAAAGCCTCCTCGTCTTTGATTGTTTGCATTTCTATAATCCAGTGGAGAATTCTTCCTGCCACCGCAGCTTGCTCTTCCAGTTTGTACATCAGTTTCTAGTATGAGGGACTGCCAAATGTTTGTGTATTCTAGGAATATGCAGTTTATTCCTGTCTTGTTCTATTTGTGACCATGTTGTAGAACTCCAGCAGGTGGGTGGATGTGTGTGTGTGTGTGTGTGTGTGTTGGCGTGCCATTGCGTGGGTGTATATTTATTTATTGGGAAAGGTGTTTTTTATTTAGAAAGAGGCGGTAGTATGTGTACACAGTGAAGCGGCTAAGGGGAGAGGTTATCGATCTGTGCTACATCCCCTGATGACAGCACACTGGCATAGGTGTTTCCTTACTGCTACTGCTGCTTACGACCACCAATCACCAGCCCATCTACCATTCATCTGTATCGTAACAACCGCCACCACTATAATTCACTTGTACCCTACCATCATCACCAACCATTTACTCGTACCCAACTATCACCCTCGCCACCATCAACCATTCACTGGTACCGTACCACAACCATCAACCATTCACTGGTACCGTACCACAACCATCAACCATTCACTGGTACCGTACCACAACCATCAACCATTCACTGGTACCGTACCACAACCATCAACCATTCACTGGTACCGTACCACAACCATCAACCATTCACTGATACCATACCACAACCACCAATCATTCACTGGTACCATACCACCACAACCACCAACCATTCACTTGTACCACCAACAATTCATTTGTACCGTACCATAGACAACCATTCATTCATTTGTATCGTACCACCACCAACAACCATTTATTCACTTGTACCGTACCACCACCAGCCATTAACTAGGACCCCTACCACATCCACCTACCATTAATCGCCCAACCACCAGTTATTCACTAGTCCCGCAACACATACCATTCATTCTTCCCCCCCTTCCCCTGCCATTGACTCACCCCCTTACTATTCGCTCCCCCCTATCACCCATTCTCCCCCTACCGTTCGCTCGTCCCCTACCATTCACCAGTCTCTTACCATTCACTCGCCCATTATCACTGACCCCCTACCATTCACCCCCATACTATTCACTGAACCCCTACCCTTCACTCGCTCCCCTACCATTCACTCCCCTACCATTCACTCCCCTACCATTCACTCCCCTACCATTCACTCCCCACTACCATTCACTCGCTCCCCTATTATTCACTCTCCCCTCTACCATTTACTCACTCCCCCTACTATTCACCTGCCTCTACCATTCACTTGCTTCTGTTTACTCCCACACCGCTTATCATTTACTTTCCTCTCCTACCACACTACCTACTATTTATTCTCCACCTATCAGTTACACCCCCTCTCTTTACCAATTACTTCTCCACCTACCAGTTACTCCCCCTCTCATCCACCTACCCAGTTACTCCCCCTCTCATCCACCTACCAGTTACTCCCCCTCCCAGTTACTTCCCTGTCATCCACCTACCAGTTACTTCCCCTCTCATCCACCTACCAGTTACTCCCCCCTCCCTCCACAACCACTTACCGTTCATTTGTCTCTAACCACTACCATTCAGTACACTCGCCACCCTACCACCACCTACGATCCACTATCGTCCCTTCACGCTTTCCCTACCACCACCTAATGTACCATTCACTCACCTTCCAGTGCTCACTCCCCCACCACCTACAATTCACTTCCCCCCCATCCATCTATTCACTACCCCCCATTCCCCAGCCACTTAGTTATTGACTTCGGTCGTTGGGTGTTTCGCTGCCTTCTTTCAGAAGAAATGGTCACTGGGACGGCTCTTAAAAGATTGAGAACGTGGCACATAGTCTTGTTTACAGCCACCTGTAAGCAGGTGCTTCTGCTTCCACTCGCCCTGTGTGTGACCTGTCATACTGCAAACTGTAGAGCACATTCGAACGGGTTGCCGACTTAAGTTGTGGTTATTGTAGTTACTACTTAAGTCCTTAGGAAAATTTTATTATGCGTTTTGACAGTCACGATTTAATGTTTTTGTTTAATTGATGCGTTCTTTGTAGTTTAACTTCATTTCATTATAATATATTTTGCATTTTGTTTGCTAGCTTATTATTTAAGAGCTTTAGCGACAGTTTTTAGGTAATTACCTATTTGTAGCTAGAGAGAGAGAGAGACGCGCTCGTGGTGACCCGTCGTCATAATTTGTTCATTTCATTTTTTTTTTTAAATTCCTGTAGTTGTAGATCTTGCCACTTTCAGTTTATTTCGTCACCTTCTAAAAAACGAACATCCCAGTATCGATTCTGCTCTTTTATTTTTTATCTCTGTTATCCCTGTTAAATTTATTAAAAAGCTTATGTATTCTTTTATATCCTCTTATTACCTTGTATATTGTGTCTTTTTTCCTTTTATCAGCCAGTTTGGGAATCTCTTAGTTTTCAGTCTTTCATCGTAACTCACGTTTTTTGGCTCTGTAATCTACTTTATAGCTCTTAGAACTTTTTCCGACTGATCAACATGTTTTTTTTT